TGATGGTGAAAGTTTTTCTTTTTCGGGCCACCCTGCCTTGGTGGGAATCGGCCAGTGTGATAATAAAAAATAAAAAATAAATATAATAATAATTATTATATTATTATTATTAATTTAGGGGAGTGGAGCACAGATCCAGTTCCCTTGATCAAGAGCCCCTCACCAAGGAACCTCCCTTGAGGGGGAAGTTCGCATCCTGAAATTTCGTTTGTATCCGGAAGCAAAAAATTGATCAAGTGACTGTTCATATCCTGAAAAATTCGCATGGTGAGGCATTCGTAAGCTGAGGTTCCACTGTATTTTGTCCTGTCTCCAGACAAACACTCGTCGGCCACCACCACCGCCGCCACATATATAATGACATATTTTATTCATTCTCGAGTATATATCAGGTTTCTATGTTATTTATATTGTTTGTTATGTCATATTAGATGAACTGTGATAGATAAATAAGCCGTAGAGTTGATGATAGCGAAATATTCAAGGAGTATTTTGTCCTGTCTCCAGACAAACATTCATTGGCCGCCACTGCCGCCGCCACATATATAATGACATTTTATTCATTCTAGAGTATATATCAGGTTTCTATGTTATTTATATTGTTTGTTATGTCATATTACATGAACTGTGATAGATAAGTAAGCCATATAAATGATATTAGCGAAATTATTCAAGAAGTATTTTGTCCTGTCTCCAGACAAACTCTCGTCCACCGCCGACACCGCCTATACCACTACATGAATTACATATTTTATTCATTTTAAAGTATATATCAGGTTTCTATATTATATATATTGTTTATTATGTCATATTAGATGAAATGAGATAGATAAATAAGCCGAAATTATTGAAGTACAGAATTCCACTGGAACGGATTAATTGCATTTCAATTAATTTAAATGAGGAAAATTGACTCTGCAAACAAGCAAATCCAGTTGCGAGCAAGGTCGTGGAACGGATTAAATTCGTAAGTAGAGGCTCCACTGTAGTAGTACAATAATATATTATAATAATATATAATAATAATATGCACGTAATAATACATGTATAATATTGTACTATATAATAATAATTATAATAATAGACGGCTTCAAAAGATGGCAATGTTCACAAGAACAAAGTGGGAGCAGTTGTGGCCATCTCCACCTGTTACATAATGACATTTCTTATTCATTCTAGAGTATATATCAGGTTTCTATATTATTTATATTGTTTATTATGTCATATTAGATGAATAGATAAATAGATGTGATAAATAAATAAACCGTACAGATGATATTAGCAAAATTAGTCACAGAGTATTTTGTCTGGTCTCCAGACAAACTCTTGTCTGCCGACGATACCACTACATGAATGACATATTTTATTCATTCTAGAGTATATATCAGGTTTCTGTTATTTATATTGTTTATTATGTCATATTAGATGAATTGTGATAGATAAATAAGCCGTAGAGTTGATATTAGGGAAATTATTGAAGTACAGAATTCCACTGGAGTGGATTATTTGCATTTCAATTACTGATTAAAATGAGGAAAACTGACCTTGCATACGAGCAAATCCAGATGCGAGAAAGGTCACGGAACAGATTAAACTTGTGAGTGGAGGTTCCAGTGTGTATGGAATAGGTAATAAGTTACTAAATGCTGTAAAGAGCTTTTATGAAGATAGTGAGGCTCAGGTTAGGGTGTGTAGAAGAGAGGGGGATTACTTCCTGGTAAAAGTAGGTCTTAGACAGGGATGTGTAATGTCACCATGGTTGTTTAATATATTTATAGATGGGGTTGTAAAAGAAGTAAATGCTAGGGTGTTGGGGAGAGGGGTGGGATTAAATTATGGGGAATCAAATACAAAATGTGAGTTGACACAGTTACTTTTTACTGATGATACTGTGCTTATGGGAGATTCTAAAGAAGAGTTGAAAAGGCTAATGGACGAGTTTGGGAGGGTGTGTAAAGGTAGAAAGTTGAAAGTGAACATAGATAAGAGTAAGGTGATGAGGGTATCAAATGATTTAGATAAAGAAAAATTGGATATCACATTGGAGAGAGGGAGTAAGGAAGAAGTGAATGTTTTCAGATATTTGGGAATTGACGTGTCAGCGGATGGGTTTATGAAGGATGAGGTTAACCATAGAATTGATGAAGAAAAAGGTGAGTGGTGCATTGAGGTATATGTGGAGACAAAAAATGCTACCTATAGAGGCAAAGAAGGGAATGTATGAAAGTAGAGTGGTACCAACTCTCTTATATGGGTGTGAAGCTTGGGTTGTAAATGCTGCAGTGAGGAGGCAGTTGGAGACAGTGGAGATGTCCTGTCTAAGGGCAATGTGTGGTGAAAATATTATGCAGAAAATTCGGAGTGTGGAAATTAGGAGAAGGTGTGGAGTTAATAAAAGTATTAGTCAGAAGGCTGAAGAGGGGTTGTTGAGGTGGTTTGGTTATTTAGAGAGAATGAATCAAAGTAGAATGACATGGAGAGCGTATAAATCTGTAGGGGAAAGAAGGCAGGGTAGGGGTTGTCCTCGAAAAGGTTGGAGGGAGTGGATAGGGGAGGTTTTGTGGGCAAGGGGCTTGGACTTCCAGCAAGCATGCGTGAGCGTGTTAGATAGGAGTGAATGGGGATGAATGGTTTTTGGGGCCTGTCGAGCTGTTGGAGTGTCTGCAGGGTAATATTTAGTGAAGGGATTCAGGGAAACCGGTTATTATTATATAGTCGGACTTGAGTACTGGAAATGGGAAGTACAATGCCTGCACCTTAAAGGAGGGATTTGGGATAGTGGTAGTTTGGAGGGATATGTTATATATCTTTATATATGCTTCTAAACTGTTGTATCTGGGCACCTCTGCAAAAACGGTGATTATGTATGAGTGAGGTGAAAGTGTTGAATGATGATGACAGTGTTTTCTTTCTTTTTGGGTCACACTGCCTCAGTGGGAGATGGCTGACTTGTTAAAAAATTATAATAATCATAATAATTTTTATTCCTTTGCCATACAAATAATATAGTTTCAATGAATGAATACAATAGTAGGCAGAAAAGAAAGTCACTAATTATGTAATGCATTTTGGACAACTAATCATAAAGCTAACATGTTATTTAAGAACTAGACAAAGATTATCAAGTAGGATTTCTTATGCAGTTAATTACAATCATAAGTACAATAAGAAATGTAGCTAATGACAAATGGTCAATTACAAAAGAATTACTTATTATTTACACTGATTTAATGATCTTCAGTTTTGTCGAGTGACTGAATAGAGATAGTGAAGATACAACAAGTTACTTAGATTATAATACAAATAAAATGGAACAAGATATGTTACAAATAATGTATGGGAGTTAAAAGAAGGCTGGAAGAACAGGGACAACTGGATGAAGGCTTATTTTGTTTGACGTAGTGCATCGCTGTCTCAATTATGTTAAGGAGACAAAGTGCTTTTTAACAATAGCTCTGAATGAATTTTGAGATAAGGAACCTTTCAATGCTTCAGGCAGGGAGTTCCAGATGTTAGGGTAGTTTATGAACACTAAGAAATAAAACTGTTTATTGTTTGTTTTATTGTTTAATGTAAGTGATGCTGTTTGAGGTACATGGTAATGTATCTTAGAGACGATGCCTACTGTTTTGGGGATCACCTTAGTTATGTGTTGGAAGTGAGAATTAAATTTCAAGTTGCAGTCAATGGGTAGACCTAAGAATTCACCCTCAGTGTGTCTTCCAGTGGGAGAACCGATGAACATTGTTTAGTTGGATATTTGAAGCTGTTTCCAAACATAATATAGTAGGTTTTATCAGTAATAAGGGTGAATTTGCTGGTAGTCATTCTTGTAGATATTTTTAGGAGCTCATCATTAACAGTGTTGTTGAGAGAAGTTGGATTTGAGTGGGAGATGACAAAAGTTGCATCATATGTGAACTGAGGTGGCCCATGGCCCAGTAGGTAAAGCTCTCGCTTCACACACTGAGGGCCCATGATTCGATTCCCAGCAAGGGTGGAAACATTGGGCGTGTTTCCTTACACCTGTTGTCCCTGTTCACCCATCAGTAAAATGGGTACTTGGGTGTTAGTTGACTGGTGTGGGTTGCATTCTGGAACAAAATTGACCTAATTTGTCCGAAATGCTCTGCATAACATGGGGCTTTCTACATAGTAGTATGTCATTGATGTCAGCTAGGCCTGTATACCTTGTACATGTCTTGCAGAAATAGATATTATTATTGTTATTAGATGTGATAACTCAGTGAATTTACTCTCATTTCAAGGAATAAATTGCATGCAATCCTGCAGTATAGTTATGTCAGCCTACCAATTCATTTAATGACAGATTAAGAATAAAAGGGGCTTTGGGATAAAAACATGTACTGGATTTTGGTTTTTGGGTACAGTTTACCCTGGTTTTCGTCGACTTTTTCCATCAAAATATTGTCCCAGTTTTCGTTCGTCACCTTGGTTTTTGTCCGCCGTACAGAACGTGTCTGTCTGCCCGTGCCCACACAGAGCATCCCACACATGCATTCTGAGTCAGTATGGCTTTGTTTCTCATTGAGCGAACATTGCCCTGCGCATTCATACGAAACATTTCATAATAATCCAGTGTTTTTTGTGCCTGTTTAGTGAGTGTGACTGCTAAATAAGCCACCATGCGGTCAGAGAGAGTTCCGAGTGCCAGCCCTTTGATAAAGAAGGGGAGAAACATGATAGAATTCAAGAAAGAACTCGTAGCAAAGTATAAAAGTGGAATGAGTTGCAAAGTTTCGTGGAAAAATATCACTACCACCCTCTACAAAGGTAGAGGGTGGTAGTGATTGTGGTAGAGGGTAGTAGTGATGGTGATAGTGGCTGGTAGTGATGGTGGTAGAGGGTGGTAGTGGTGGTGGTAGAGGCTGGTAGTGGTTGTGATGGTAGTAGAAGGTGGTAGTGATGGTGGTAGAGGCTGGTAGTGATGGTGGTAGAGGGTGGTAGTGATGGTGTAGAGGCTGGTATGGTTGTGATGGTGGTAGAAGGTGGTAGTGATGGTGGTAGAGGCTGGTAGTGATGGTAGTAGAGGTGGTAGTGATGGTGGTAGAGGGTGGTAGTGATGGTGGTAGTGGGTGGTAGTGATGGTGGTAGTGGGTGGTAGTGATGGTGGCAGGGGTGGTAGTGATGGTGGTAGAGGGTGGTAGTGATGGCAGTAGAGGGTGGTAGTGATGGCAGTAGACGGTGGTAGTGATGGCAGTAGAGGGTGGTAGTGATGGTGGTGGTAGTAGAAGGTGGTAGTGATGGTGGTAGAGGGTGGTAGTGATGGTGGTAGTGATGGCAGTAGAGGGTGGTAATGATTGTGGTAGAGGGTGGTAGTGATGGTGGTAGAGATAACCTCTCCTCCCTCTCCCCTCCTCGCCGTCTTCCATACGCCAACAAGAGTCTTCAATGAAGGTATAAGTGATGTTAAATGTTCATTAATCCATTTCATTAGTGCTTTATATTTATTTCTCATTGTTTTCTGTATGTAAAACTATAGTTATTCTCTATAAAATGTATTTTTTGTTAATATTTTTGGGTATCTGGAACGGATTAATTAGATTTACATTATTTCTCATGGGAAATATTGCTTCAGTTTTTGTCGAATTTGGTTTTCATTAGACTCTCTGGAACGAAATAAAAATGAAAACCGAGGTTCCACTGTACATTACATATTAACCTGTAACTCGTATCTATTAACCTGTAATTTGTATCTATTAACCTGTAACTTGTACGTATTAACTTGTACAGTAACTTGTATCTATTAACCTGTAACTTGTATCTGTTGCTAACTTCCTACTAATAATGATATTCAGCTCCTTATAGAAAAATTAAAAGGCCCATAGAATGCAAAGCATAAAGGCCAATAGAATGCAAAGCATTCTATTGGCCTTTAGACCTTCAATTTATTGTATGTCCTGTGCAGTAATACTGAAATATAGATTAGTATCTGCTTTTAAAATTAATCAACTTTGTATTAACTGCTTCAAGCAGTATAACATTATTTTACTAAAATTTCCAACAAATTGTGTTGCAAAAAATCCATTAATAATTATTAAAAGTTATAAGTGTATTTTAAGGCTGCCTGAAATGCTTTGTATGGCCAGAGGCTTTCTATAAAGTTTATCAGTAATGTAACCCATTTCTGGACAAATTACTAACTATATATTTTTTTAGAAGTAAAGTTTATCATTTATTATTTACTCAGAGCTGTAAAATGTATCACAATGCATTACAGATTTATTTGAACTGATTCTGACAACTATGCTGATGTTTATGCTGCAATTAGTTATAAGTAACACAAAGTTAAAGATTATTCATTACCATATCTATACAACACAACTTTTGCACACTCAAACATACCTCATATAACTGTGCCCCTGAGTCAATGTTATTGAGTATATGTCTGTTTTCTGGATTTGAAAGTACAGACAAAACAAATGATCTTGTTTCTTTTTGTAGAGTCTCAATCTCTTGCTGTAATGCTTGATTTTTACGTAATAATTCTGCAGTCTTCAAGGTGATATCCAACAAGCCAGACTGCCTTAAAGCCTGTTGGTATTAAGGAATAGAGTAAGAAATACTGTACATACAAAAGATATATTACTGTAGTTCTGTACATAAACTAGCCTCTGATATTAGTCAACACATCTGTAGTAATACTACTGCTACAAATTTCAGAGTGACATGGCCTTAATTACATTTTAATCAGAAACAATTTATAATACCAGTACATACCTCTGCTGTTCTCATGAACCGCCTTCGTCTCATAGCATAGGACTCCTTAATATTGGTCACAGCTTCTCCATTTGTATCTGGTAACACACGACTCTCTAAGCACACTCTTTTTGCAAATTCTTCTTGCTCCGAGTCTGAACTGGAGTCTGAGGATGGGGTGTTAACAATTTTTCTTCTTTGCTGACTTCTGGAAACTTGTGGGGTAATACGTCTGTGTGGATGTGGCCTGTCTGGGCTGACCTCAGAAAACTGCCTTTTAATACCATGTTGGATGCTTGAAGACTTTGCTGATTCCTACAAAGATAGCAAAGGTATGAAGGTATTGAATTTAAGAAGCATGAAAAATGAAATGATTTCCAATGGACATGGTACTGTATTTAATAAAATATATGTTTAACATACACTTGACCTACAAAATTTAGTGCATCCTGCCTAATTTAATTGTTATAATAATACTGTACACAATTCTGATGTAATAACACACCTAGTAGATCATGATGTGTTGTGTTAAAATTAATTTATTCTATAGCTGCAAGTGAAGTACAAGATATAAATAATTTTAAGTAGCTCAAGACATTTTATTTTATATCATTTAACTGTCATTTACATAGATCTAAGTTACTGATGCCAGCAACACTTGCGTACATCTGCGCTTTAAGCACGGCCTTCTCAAATATGTATGCTGTGAATGGAAAATAGAGGCCTAGACACAAGGGAATTGGTCTCTGTGGCGAGTATGAATGATATAAACAAATCCTGCTCCACGCGTTACATGATGGGGAAAAGTAAACCTCTGACCTTATGTCTGGTTTAAAATAGTGAATTTGAGGTGTGTTCTAGGATGTTTTTTGTTGTTTTATTAGCTGTTTCTTGGTGTCAATTGATAGAATGAAAGATATACTACTGAAATGGTAATGATGTTGGTTGGTTTCGAAACCAGTAGCTTGAAATCAGGCACAAACTAACGGAAATATTCAATTTTTTTACCATTTTCCTGAGGACGGGTAACAACTCACCCCCTTGCTTTGTTTTATGGCTTTTTACTAGGTCTGCTTCTGTTACCGGGATGCCCTCAACCATGACTAATCATTCCTGGTTATATTTTATTATCCGAGAAATAGTGTAAAACTTTTTTGCTATTATAATTCAAAAAGGAGGGCAAGTGTAATATAGGAGGCCTGGGGACGTGATTAATGAACAGATGAAATGTTTCTTTAGTGGCTGGAATGCCTACAGTGCATATTTGGAGTCTGTTGTCAAATTGGAATTATTTGAAATTCATGTAAGCGGCCATGTTACCGACTTCTTTGCACTTTATAGGGTAATTCTGATAACTGAATGAGAGGTTCCTTGGCTCAATCGATAGAATGGATGGCTTACTAGAGAAATAGCTAAGAATTTGGTCAAATTGATCACTGGAATAGGCTTAAAATAGAACTCAAGTGGGAGAAATCTCCGATAAGTAAATTGCGCCCAGACTGCCACTTTGTGCCTACATAATTCCCTAGGTTCAATAAGTTGTAAATCAAATTTCGTATTTTTGGTTTCATTACCTTCGGAAAAAAGAGTATCTACCATTTCAGATTTTTTTTTTAATTCCCGACAATGAGCACTTTCCAACAGTCAAGGGGTTAATATTAGTTACAAGCCATAACAACAGAAGTTATATGTGTGTGTGACAATCTGGTTGGAAATGGGGCTAGGGAACTTGTTCTGAAGCAGTTATAAATATTATTGTTTTTATTTGGAGACAGGTTAATATTGAGTTTAGGGGTATATAACAAATCCTTTATTTTCATTTCAGCAACACAGGCAACCTACATAGAGCCCGGCAAAAACAGTTATTTCTTATGCAAATTTTTGTGGGAGGAGATATTATAGAAACAAATTTTTTTATAAGAAACAGACTGCATCAAATAAATTATTATAATGTCGAGCCAATTTGTCCGGGGGGCAAAAATAGTCTTACGTCAGCCCGACACTGGTCGCTACAAGGTCACTCTCCGTGAACCGTGAGCTTTATCATACCTCTGCTTAAAGCTATGTATGGATCCTGCCTCCACTACATCGCTTCCCAAACTATTCCACTTCCTGACTACTCTATGACTGAAGAAATACTTCCTAACATCCCTGTGATTCATCTGTGTCTTCAACTTCCAACTGTGTCCCCTTGTTGCTGTGTCCCATCTCTGGAACATTCTGTCTGTCCACCTTGTCAATTCCTCTTAGTATTTTGTATGTCGTTATCATGTCCCCCCCTATCTCTCCTGTCCTCCAGTGTTGTCAGGTCGATTTCCCTTAACCTCTCCCTTAGCTCTGGGACTAGTCTTGTTGCAAACCTTTGAACTTTCTCTAGTTTCTTTACGTGCTTGGCTAGGTGTGGGTTCCAAACTGGTGCCACATACTCCAATATGGGCCTAACGTACACGGTGTACAGGGTCCTGAACGATTCCTTATTAAGGTGTCGGAATGCTGTTCTGAGGTTTGCTAGGCGCCCATATGCTGCAGCATATGTTACAAGTTGCGTGTGCTAGCATTTCAGATCACAGTTTAAACATGGTACTTAGTGTCGGCGTGTAGCGCAAGCTACCCTGTTGTACCATTCAAAAAACGTTCAGACACTGTCAACCAGAGAAATATGACCCATCCCATTATAATATTGTGGCTTCAGTATTTCACTCATTTCTTATTTTCATCAGTGTGTGTGATGTAAATGGTTTGGACTGAAGTCTAATACAGAGAAGAATGAGGAAAGAAGCCACTGGTTGGTAAAGTTTCCTCAATAAAGATTCCCAAATGGTGAACATGTGTCTCATTCAATGTGAAATGGTTGACAATGAGCAACTTATCAATGAAGTTTTAAAACAAGAATTGGTTACTCTCAATGTTTCCAACCTCCTCAGCCCATCTCACTTTTTGTCTTTATTTGTCACCATCAGCATTTCTCCATATTTTGCCCACAGTTAAGCCTGTATCTTACCATATGTGCTAGATCAACCAGGCTGTGATGGATACATGGCCTGGCAGTCCGCCAAGAGCAGTAGCCCGGTTGATCAAGAAATCAACATAAGAGGCTTTTTCCCAACCCGTGCCAGGAGTAGGAAAAGTCTGGAAACGGATCACATATAAATCAAATTTATCTTGCCAGCCCCAGTATACCCTATCATTTCTTCGTGTTTCCTTGTTTAGGATTATTTTTATACTAGTATTTTAATAATACAAGAGGCTAGTAACTCCTGTATAAATTACTAAATGTTAAAAGAAGATAAACTTTCGTTTCTCTTCTGGGTCACTCTTCCTCGGTGGGAGACTCGTGGAATTACATGTTCATCAGTACTTGCTAAATGACACTCCATCATCCTGAAGGTCTGGTCTGGGACCGGGCCGTGGAGGGTGGTGACCCCTGAAATCTTAATGTAACCCTGAGAATCCCTGAATGTGGCAGAAATGTCCTAACAGGCTTACACATAAGGCGAGGGGTGGTAGTGTGCACCGTGGCGCTGAGGCTAACTTTGGTTTTATGGCCAGTCCTGCTTTAAGCTTAGAACAGAGCCACATTTGATTATCTCCGCTAACGTCACTCTCCTATATCACTCTGGGGTGTCTGAAGAGTATATTTAGGCTAATGTGCACTGAAACACACTTTAGGCTAAAAACGTGGACAAACAAATGAATTTTGAGTCGAACCACAATAAATGCAAGGTAATAAAGATTTGGTGGGATTGGTCCCAAGCGTGCACACTGATGTTACTCCACATGAAAGAACGAGATTTGGCAGATGGTGCAAAATACTTCAAATGAAAACCAGAAGCGTGAAGGGTTAGACTATGGGAGAACTCATTAAGTGTAAAAAGACCAAGACTTTTCAATGCCTTCTTCCCCCTTCCCCTTCGTGAACGAGGGAAACTAACAACTAATCTTGGGCTGTCTTCAAGAGGGAAACTGATAATTTCCTGATCTGTATTAGGAAGCACTTTTCAATTTTAGGTTGGCATATAAGTGAAACACTATATACAGCTATAAGAGTGGGTATGATTGGTCCCAGGAGAAAAAAAAATAGGTGAAAGTGGTTGATAATAGTTAAGAGGTGGAGTCAAGTGAGTACACACTCGTGTCTTGGCACTGTCGCAAGAATGATAAAACAGAAAACTCGTTGACCTAAGTGAAAGTTTTATACTTTTACTCTTTCTGACAACTGTACACTATTATTTATATTATTAATGCTTATACAAATGCAACGAGGCTTGGTCGGTAGTGCCCTCAGCTCACACACCTGAGGGTCCGGGATTAATCCCCGGCACAAGTGAAACGCTGGGCATGTTTCCTTACTCCTGCTGCCCCTGTTCACCTTGCAGCTTACTAAGTAGGTACTTGGGCTTCGGTCATATCCTGGGGGACAAGATTAGTCTAAACTGCCCAAATTTCTCTGCATAACCAGGGTAATTCTATATAGCATGCCAAAGATGCCAGCTGGGTCTGTATAAGTCGTATCGTGTACTTGTAGAAATAATAATAATAATAATATTATTATTATTATTACTGTATTTATATATAGCACTAAATCCGGTGGGGTAATTGAATTAAGATACAATAAAAAAATAGCCAGTATTATTCATAATTAACTCAGCCTGAAAGCCTTTAAATAAGCTCCCAATATTGTTTTCCTTCCAGAAGTACACCAGTTTACAACAACTCTTAATGTGCTCACTCCATTTAACAATTATGTAGTAAGTTGTCCTCCAACCAATTAACCAGGCAAAATCCAAACTAAGCTTCCTAATCTTAAGTATGTAAGTTTATTCAGGTATACACAAATACAGTTACATAGATTGTCATACACAGCAGCATATGTGTAGAGAACCAAAAAAGTGAGTGACTTATTTCCACTGGGGTCCTTTACCCCAAATATACAGAGCCACTTTATTACGTCTAATCATCCGTAAAATGTACAATTACTGCACTATTATTGCCTTATTAATCTTAAGTTAGTCTTAAGTTTGCCCAAAATTCTCGGCACATAAAGGGGCTTTTGTCATGTACATCTAATTATACTTCTTTGTACAATCATGTATCATGCTAAAATAAAATTATTTTTATTTTTTTTTATTATCACACTGGCCGATTCCCACCAAGGCAGGGTGGCCCGAAAAAGAAAAACTTTCACCATCATTCACTCCATCAGTCTTGCCAGAAGGGTGCTTTACACTACAGTTTTTAAACTGCAACATTAACACCCCTCCTTCAGAGTGCAGGCACTACTTCCCATCTCCAGGACTCAAGTCCGGCCTGCCGGT